GATACATATATAAAATACATGCTTAATGGCTGGAATGCGAGTGTGAAACAAGACATGAATTTTAAAATATAAACTTATCAAGTACCTAGAAAGCAGTTACACTCTAATCACACCCTTAAATTTAATACTATGTCAGATTTAAGAACAAATAATAGACTCAGAATTATAAATATACAAAAAGGAAAAAGAGAGACCAGGAAAGCCATTCTTTTCCAAGCCAATTGGACCCTTTATATAGACACTCCTAATAGTAAGTAGTATTTTGTGGGGGAAAAAAAAAGTTAAAACTAAATTCACAGAAGTGAAAATGTGAGTTTTGTAAAGGGCAAAATGACAAATCCATGTTTTAAAACTAGTCATTATGTTTAGAAAAAAGAAATTAAAAGATATAAATATTAGCTCAGCAAATTACCACATAGCATCTGAAAATTCAATGTGCACTTTTGAAATAATGAGAAAATAGTAAAATACTAACAACACAATGATCCAATTGACTGAAAGTAAGATGACTACTTCTAGGTCAGAGAACTATACATGATATGAGATCAGTTCTCCCAATTATAACTGATAATGACTACAAGTGACTTGTTTCACAAATGACTCTCAAAATTTAATCAAGTCACTGTTAAAACAGTGAATTCAGAAACAAAGAATTTTCTTTAAATGCCCTCTCTTAAGTAAATTTGAATAAATAAAAACATGAACAAAAATCTAATCTTGAACAGTTTAAAATATTTTTCTAGGTATATTTTGAAACAACAATGCTCACAGACTTAGATTATTATTTGTTTTCCAAATAATTTTTAGCTCTATAGAATAAAAACATCCTGGCAGAAAGTTCTTTGAAAAACAAATCTGCGAAGTTACACTTGGAAAGATAGTTTAAGTGATACCATGAAGAAAAAGACTGAGTCTTTAGAACCAGTTATTTCATAGTTTTTTAGTAAATTGGCAAATATTCTATAAATCCCAAATATATAGCAAGAAAGCTGTGTAAAAGAAATTTTAGAGTTCTTGGTGAGGACATGGTACACATAAGAACTAAGCAAGAGATTAATTTTCATCAAGTCAATGAAATGCATTCTAGTTTGTAACTGCAAGTTATATTCCTGAGCTGGGCCAATTGTCTCATGAATAGATAAAAAAGGGACCTCCCAAGAGTGTGAGAGCAAAAATCAATTACTATGGGAAGAAAGCCAAGTTAAAGTAAATGCCAGTAATCTTCATTTATGATGGAGAACATCAATACTGTAGTGAAAAACATTTCACTTACTGAATCTGAGCCCTGGGTTTCTATCTTAAATCTACTACTAACTGAGTGTGTGACTTCTAACAAATTATTTAACCTTTTCAGAACACAGCTTTGCCATTCCTAAAATGAAGGAGTTGAACAGGCAGGTCATTTTTTGGAACAGGAGAAGTTACTTTTTAAAACAAAAGCACACAGTTCCAATAATAACGAAGATCTGAATGGACTTCCCTATTACTGGTTACTAATCCAAGTTTTCCCTCAAGAATATTTATTCCAAAAACCCTTCTCAATTTAGAAAACTGGATATGCAGCCAAGAAAATGCTGCTAAAAAGATTTCACTTAAGGAAATAACTAATTTTCAACATTTAAAAAATGTTTTCAATTAGGCAGAGGAAATGGAAACCATGTTTATGTCAAACCTAGGGCAACTGTCCTTCCCATGATAGATTTCAGATATATCAATTTTTAATAATTAACTGAAACAAACAAAAACTTAAAATTTAAATACAAATGTATAATAAATACAGACATTTGTAAGATACAAAGGTGACTACTTACTCCTAACTAAAAGTCAGGAACCCCATCTTGCTCTACATATCTAAAGAACAAATACATATGATTTTTCCAGTACTGAATACTGTCTAAGCATATCTTAAGACCTCGCTGAAACCTATGTACTCTCCTTTATGAAGCTCTTAACAGTTACCCCGTGTAAGAAACCATGATATTCACTGCAGAAAATAGAGTTAAACCTTTTTCAACAGTTCAACTCAAGTACAGCTGAGTTATAACTAGGGGTGGGAAGCAGATATTGCCTACATATTAAATTGCTTCAAATAATTCACAGTTAAGATGCACACAGTTTTCCAGAATTTTAGGTTGTCATTTCTAATTGTTACGGCAAACCTCAATCATTTGGCTACAATTATAAAACTATTCTGTTTTGAGGCTTCACACATTCAGCATCCTGAAGTATTTGCCAAATATATATAGGCCATGGAAGGGTTCTGTATAACTCTTGATATCAATTTTAAATATTTCGGTACATTAACACTAAAATTTCTTTAGCCATGGGGACCTTAAGAGTTCTGTAAAAATAAGCTTAATTGTAAGTCACCACTTAAGATACCAAGCTAGTATGCACAGTCAAGAAACTGAAATAAACTCTCCCCACATCCCAGAAAACAGAAAAGTGATTCAGAATCTATAGTCGGTGACTTCATTCTTAGAATTTCTGGAGGAAAAAAAAAGGATTTTATGCTCTATGGTTGAGTATATGCTAAAAGAAAAGAAAAACCCATGAGGACAGGATCATGATTTAATGCCACATTCTTCTTCATAAAGTATCTACTCTAGATGAAGATTTCAAATGACTAACATGAGGACAACTACCCTCAAAAATCAGTGATTACTCATCACTCCTGTGGCATTTCTGGAATATCTACCAGCTTAAAAAATATTTGGTTTAAAACTGCTCTTTTTACACTAATGGACAATATGATAACTATGAAATCAGAAGAACAGATAATTTTTGAGGATGGTCACATAATAAGTCAAATGAAAGTCACAATGAAAACAGCTAAGAACTAGAGTTCCACAAAGGCATCCTCCTTCCTATCATATCAAGCCCACGCTGTTCTGCCTCCCTGACCGAGCTCCCCATCCTCTCCTCCACTCTAGAGAACACATGAAGCACCTCCTGGTACAGAAGGTAGCTCTATTGTTTCTTAATGTAATGACACTCTAAATTTTGCCTCTATGCCTTTATTTGGGAGTTTCTACCAACACAAAAGGTCTTGCCCTTTCCCTCCTGCTAACCCAAATCCAGGATACAGGTCAATTCCTACTTCCTCAATGATGCTTCCCCAACAATTTATAGGCTCCACTGATGTGTCTTGCATTCCAGTATCAAATAGTTCCCACCTTCATACACAGCCTTGTTTTATCTTGTCAACTACACTATACAGTATCTGGAAATAATATCTGCATTTTAAAGTTTTTCTGCATTATCCACATGGCCTAGTTCATTGTTGGGCAGATACCCAAATATTCATAGTAACTGGTCTAATATTCTATTGTTAAATGTTTAGAATATTTAGGGGAAATTAAATTTTTGGTGTTATGTTATGAGATACACTACTAGTAATTTAAATTCCACATTTCTAAATGATTGAAACAAAGGAAAACAAAACAAACTTACATTCTAATATCCTGTCTTGGAAAAAAATGAATACCAGGAACTGAACACTTAGTATTTCTCAAGTGAATATCATGTAGAAGAAGATTGAAAAATGTCACTCTCAATTACCTACTAACTACCAAAATCAAATGAACAAATATCATGAGTCCCACCAATGTGCAAACCACTACATTAGGTGCTATCATGGTGGTGGTGGTTTAGTTGCCAAGTCATGTCTGATCTTTGCAACCCCATGGATGGGGCACCACCAGGCTCCTCTGTCCATAGGATTTTCCAGGCAAGAATACTGGAGTGGGTTGCCATTTCCTTCTCCAGGGATCTTCCTAATCCAGGGATTGAACCCGGGTTTCCTGCATTGCAGGCAGATTCTTTAACAACTGAGCTACAGACCCCATGTGCTACCACACTTATGCGTAAATTAACTTGACTGTATCAAAAGCCACACACCATATTCTCTTAACCTACCTACTTGTTTTGAAATTCAAATGCTGTAGTCACAAAGAGAATAGAGCCAAGGAATTTTGATGGATCTCTGAAAACTTATCAACCTTGCTAAAAACAAGAAAACAAATGTCTTGCTGGTGGTAGCACATTATCACAATAATGCTGTGCCATGCCATATCACAAAGGCCAAGACAAGGGATAAAAATAAATTTTATGAGTTATGTAACAGAGTGAACAACTATTCTATTCTACTTGATCCTCTTCAGAATCAAGAGAAAACAAACTCTTTCACCAGTCATAGCTAAAGCCCAAATCAAACTTTGAAAAACTATTAATAAGAAAAATTCCTTTAAATATAGAAGTCACTTGATCTAAAAAATATCATATGAGACTTTAAAAGCCAAAAGTTCTGAAACCTTCAAGGGTAGCAGTACAAAATCAGAAATATTCTGGCGTCACTTACAGGAATCTAATATTTACCCCAGAAACAAAAACATGACAGGCCAAAAGGAAAAAAATCTCTCCTTGAACAATTTCTTTTTCACAGAAAGTATAATTATGCACATATGATATGTCTGTGAAAATTAAGAGTTCCCAAATATTATGTCATTTATTATATAAGCAGATGTGAGTGTGTGTCTATCAGTCAAAATAAACTGTCAAAAGGAGTTAAGAGGGTGGCTTTATCCCTCATGCTCTCACTAATTATCATCTCTAAAAACTTTTTTTGAACCAGTTTACTTTTAGAATGTGTAATCAGCATTTTTGGTGTTGGACATTATGGCACCATAATTTCAGAGCCCATTTCTTTTTGCATTTGAAAAAGATTTATATGCCATAAGAAAGTATGGTAACTATGCTATTAAGTAAAATGCTTCCGAGCAATAACCAGGTATAATACTCCACCATCCTTATAAAGCTCAATATTACAAGGCATCCATCCAATTAAAATTTTTTTAGATTATGATAAAGAGTGTTTCCCATTGAAATTTCCAAGACTAATGATAAACACTTTCTGTTATCCAAAAGTACCCTCCCTACCCACCCAACAATCTGCAGGCAAGAGTTATTCACAAATTCTCAAAGGCTATAAATAAACCTACCTGCTATAGGGATCCCTCCCAGACCTGTGTTGTGCTGTGGCGGGAGATTCAAGTCCAAGAAATTACTATTTGAGGTGGGGTTTGCTGTGTGGTTCAAGTGCATGATGCTATTGCGTGGAAAGGCCATCCAAGGATAGCGGGCTGCCTGGCCTGGAAAACTGAATGAATTATAAACCGCTCGGTGCTGCTGAAATTGAGGGAACCTCTGTGGCAAGACGGAAAAGGTACTATTCAGAGAGTTGGCATTTGTAGGTGCAGCAGGATGTAGGAATCCAGAGCCTGGACCTTTGGCGGTTGTAGTGTGTGACGAGGAGTTCTGAAGAGATGTGGGCGAAAGGGAAGGCTGGTCTTGGACTGACAGTTCCTTTTCAATTAAGTCTGCTAAGGCTTTTCGAGTGACATCAAAAGGATCAAAACCCAAGTCATCCTCTGGTTGTTTAGAAGAACCAAAGCCAAACGCTGCTTGCCAGTCTGTAGAGGATGATACTGGGATTGTTTCTGATGGGAAGAAAATCAGTGATAAATTTAAAACATATATCTCACTTTCATACTAGTGAAACATCATCCTATATAACACAAAGGCAAATAAATACATGCAAAATCTGTTAAGATTTCTTAGAACATTAAGACTGTAAAATTATAATTGGCCTCAGATACTTTAAACAATGATTTCATTTTTAAGTTACTAATTTCAAAAACTGAATGATAGATTGACTTTGTTAATCAAGGAAAACAAAGTACTACTTGAAACCCAAATCATACCCTCAACTATTCATCATCAAAACCCAGAATAAGTTGTTTAAATGAAATAAAGTAATAAATATGGTCAGAGAATTCAATTAAAGTTTATTTTTAAAATGTATTTCTCAAAGACACAAGTATAAATAATTTTGAATATATGCTTTATATACTACTATAACAGTGAAAAAGTATCTTTATTTTTTTATATTGTCTTAATTTTATGCTATCTTTCACATTAATGAGAACAAAATGAATGAAACTGGAAATGGTTCAAAATGCCAAAATATAACGTTCGATATTAACATACTTTTATGTCAGCTAGGAAAACACTTTATAAAATATAACTATATAAATACAAATCTAATTAAAAACTGTAAGCCCTTCCTATTAATACTTCCTAGAGGAATAAGTATTTGAATATTGAAAAAATGATCTAATCCTTCATTTCTGGAGAAATCTGTTAACACAGTAATTTCTAGATCATACAACTCTTACCAAAACCATCCAATTTCTTGCAATTTAAATGTTTACATTTTTATGAAAAAACAGGACAAAAGCAGCATAACAGCACACCCAGTGAAGCTCTGGTTTTAGTCTGAGTATCACTACTCATACACGCAGTGTTGTTATGTACCTGATGTGAAGAGGCTCTGTGGCTCTGGTGCTGTAGGCCAGTCACTGGAAGTCTGTGGGGAGCTGGGGAAAGGAGGAAGCCCGCTTGGGATAGGGTTGGGATGGCGAAAATTATCTGAGAATAACGACTGTGACTCAGTTACTGCTCCTTCAAAAGGAGACCGTGCACTGTGATTGGATGAACTGATGGGGATGACTGGATTGGATTTTGATAAGCCAGGAGGTGGTGAAGGTGTATCACTGTTAGATATCTAAATAAAATAGGAAAAGAAAAGAATAATCAACATAAATTTATACTATATACAATAATAAGCCATACTTTAAAGGGCTTGCAATGAAAAGTACTAGAATAGTGCTCTTCAAAAACGGGATACTTAAGAGACTTCTTTTAGGACTGTGTGAATTTTCAAAAAATCAACTTCAGACTTCCCTGTCAGTCCAGTGATTAAGATTCCACACTTCCACTGTAAGGAGCATGCACAGTTTGATCCCTGGTAGGGGAACTAGAATCCCACATGCCACACAGTGCAGCCTAAAAAATAGCAACTTACATATGTATTTTTTTATATAACACTCCTGAAAAGACACAGTCCATATCCTCTCCTTTTACAACCTAATTTCTCTCACTATTACTTACTCTCTGGGGCCTAACCAAAGTATTTTGCCCAAGAGTGAAAACTTCCTGGAAGCCAAACACAACTCTATGAGAAATATTCGGATCGGTCGCGACAGCGCGTCTGCTCTTAAGGACTGCATTGTCTTTGGCAAACTGAGCGATTCCCAATACTTTGGTTTTAAACAAAACGGAAATATCTACTCAAGCTGTTTCCAAACACAGCATTAAAACTAATTTTTATAATAGATCTTAATATGATTCTCAGGTATTTAAAATTCAAGAGTCTGAAAATTTGAGTGATATTGACATAATACTCTTTCTTCCATTTACTTATATATATGAACAAGATATCTCAGCACTTTTATTTAAAAAAATGAAAACACGATTAGATGGCTGCTGAAACATCTCCTTGTGCCAAAGGGTAATATTCATCCATGGATACAAGAAAATTGATTTTAAAATGCGCTATCTGTTTCATTAAGAAGTAAATTTCCAATACAATTTTAGCTTTTAGTTAAATGATTAATTTTTTTATTAAAGAAAAAAATGAGGTCAAGGAAGGATGTACAATTTCTGATTGTTAAAGACGAGCTTGTGTAAATGGATGAGGGAGTAACAAAACATTCTGATACTTAAATCTCTCGAATACTAATTAAAAACCAATATAGCCTATTTATTTAAAAATACCAAACTTATAGTAAGCTGGAAATTACATCTTTTGTGGCTATTTTAAACTTATTATGAAAAAATATTTAATGTTAACTTAAAATATACAAGGGGGCATGCAGATTTTCAAATTCTTTCATGGAACTCGTGAACAAAAAGTTTAGAAAAGCAGTATAATTTAGATTTCACATTTTGGGAAACCACATTCTTTACAGAAGAGATTAGAACATTTTTTTTTTTTAATTTAAACTAAAGTAAGAGGGTATACAGAAAGTAAGAAGGTGTAGTGAGAAGCTAGCAAATAGGCAATATCATACAAAGCATGCTCTACAGATTAGGACCTCATTCAGTATCATACTGGATACAACTCTGAAGTTAACTATTTGATTTAACCATTTCAAAGCCCAAAGTCATTTGAGGAATGAGGGAAACTTGGGGGAAAGTTCATTGAAAGAAACAGAAAATTAAAGTTAGTCTGGAACTAACAGATACAAACATATATATAAAGTGGATTAAAAGATCCTACTGCATTTCAAAGAGAATTATATTCAATATCCTAAAACATAATGGAAAAAATATGAGACAGAATATATGTGTAACTGAGTCACTTTGTTTTACAGCAGAAATTAACACAACATTGTAAATCAACTCAATAAGATTAAAAAAAAAAGTTAAAGTTGACAACAAGGGACAGGGGAGCACAGGACAGAGAAACAACTCAAAATCAAGAATGCAGAAGGCATGTTAGTCTGGGACCATTTCATGTAGGGTCAAAAAGACCACAACTATCAGGGATTCTAAGGATACTAATGTATTGGTACATAGCAGAGTAACATATTTTATTTTCTTGGGCTCCAAAATCACTGCAGATGGTGACTGAAGCCATGAAATTAAAAGACACTTGCTCCTTGGAAGAAAAACTATGACAAACCTAGACAGCATATTAAAAAGCAAAGACATTACTCGGCTGCCAAGGGTCCAAACAATCAAAGCTATGGTTTTTCCAGTAGTCATGTATGGATGTGAGGGTTGGACCATAAAGAAGGCTGAACACTAAAGTATTCGTGCTTTCGAACTGTGGTGCTGGAGAAGACTCTTGAGAGTCCCTTAGACTGCAAGGAGCTCAAACCAGTCAATCCTAAAGGAAATCAACCCTAATTATATATTCACTGGAAGGACTGATGCTGAAGCTGAAGCTACAATATGTGAAGAGCCGACTCACTGGAAAAGACCCTGATGCTGGGAAAGATTGAGGGCAGGAGGAGAAGGGGACGAGAGAGGATGAGATGTTGGATGGTATCACTGACTCAATGGACATGAGTTTGAGCATACTCCAGGACAGGGAAGCCTGGTGTGCTGCAATCCATGGGGCTGCAAAGACAGGGAAGCCTGGTGTGCTGCAGTCCATGGGGTCGCAAAGAGAGACATGACTTAGGGACTGAACAATGAACAGCAACTGTAACATATGGTCATAATGATACTTCTGCATCATCAAGAAAGGGTTACATTATGCTCTATTCTGTGGAGAAAAAGATGGCTAATTATTATTCATTTAACAAAGATGCTCACTAAAAGTGTTTTTAAATTGTTACAGTATTTAAAGTATTTTTCACTATCTAGAAAATTCACTTGCATAGAAGGTCTTATTTCAGCAGATGGCAGGTAAATAAGGGAATACAGTATCACAATCTTACCTGCTGAGAATTATCACCATTCCCTATGCTGAGAGAATCAGAAGGTTTGTCAATAGGGCTGTAAAAAAATAAAAATTAAAGTAAATTTATTCTCCTACAACGAAAGCCTGAAAAATAGACATTTTTTCATCTTAACATTTACTGAAGCACTCCAATGCAAAATATTAGGTTAGAGGTTGGGGACACAAAGTGTAAGATAAAATCTCTATCCTTGAACGACTTACAGTCTAATCAGACTCTCCAAAAACGACGAGTCAAACAACAGTTTGGGGGGGGGGGTAGTAATGTTTAAAAAGGATACTAATCCATTATTTAGTTTGTGCCCATAATAAACACATTCCCCATTAAAATTCTGAAAAAGTTCTATTTTTCTAGGTGCTTAACAGAGGGCATAAAAATTACTGAAATGTCATCCACAGGTTCTTAAAATCAATACATTTTTAATACTTCAATAGCCTAATCATAACCTTAAGACATATGTAAGTATATACACATACACACACAAACACATACACACCACACACGACTAACAGAAAGAAACTTTTGTGCCTCAAACAAAAGTAGTAAAATCTGATTTCCATAAGAGAAAATGCAGTATCATAGTGAAGTAACACATATTTGCTAACTTCAAGTCCATTTTAACTCATCTGACTTAAAACAAAAATCTTTATAAACATTACAACACTGACCAAGCAAGCAATTTCTATAACAAACTTTAATCCAGCACATGAACAAAAGCTTTGGCACTCATATAACTAATACTTACTTCTGATATAATAGTATAGCCAAAAAACTTAAGATTCCAAATTTCTGAAATTTATTTTATTGCCTGGAAACATATATAAAGTCACCTTACAAAGCAACAACTTACTGGTACTATATTTGATTGTTTTGGAATAATTTCACAAGAACTAGTACCCAATCTGAATACCAAGTGCATCTTCTGCAGAAACATTGCCAGGTGCTCTTGAATCTGACTGATAAGTCTGAGATTTACTTGAAGAACATCTTTACTTATTATTCACAGTATATCAATAAATGAATTCATACTATTGTCAGGAGGGTAATCCTAAAAATTTTAAGATATAGTTCTGGGCCCACTAAATTTAGAGGTAGTTGGGTAACAAGGAAGGTGCACACCAACACATATCAGTCAGTGTCAACTACTAAATGAACTGTTTAAACACTAAGTGCCATAAATCTTTAGAAGAGGAGCTACTCTAAGAGGGACAACTGTGAAAAGTTTCCTAGGGAAGTTCAAATTTAACTAAGACCTTAAAAAATATTTAACACGTTAGAAGGAAGAGAAGGGGGGGGGGGGGGGGCAGACAGCATTAAAGGCAGGATTAGCAAGAATTTCAAGAATCAAAAGGTTGTAGAAAAGGTTGAGAGAAAGGTAATCAGTTTAGCTAACATACAGGATGATTTTAACAATGGGAGGTAAGAAGAGAAAGACACCAGAGGCCACTGGAAATTTTTTTGAGCACAGAAATGATACAAATAAAGCAACGTTTTAGAAAGATTAATACACTTCAGTGGTATTAAATACACCTTGCTGTACAACTGTCACCAACATCCATTCCCATAACTTTTAATTTTATAAAAATGAAATTCTACACTCACTAAACAACTCTATTTTTCCTCTTTCCAGTATCTACTAGGTACTCTGTTTTGATGACTCTGACTACTCTAAATGCCTTGTGTATAAGTGTTAATCACAGAGTATTTATCTTTTTGTGACTAGCTTATTTCATAAACAATAATGTTCTCAAAGTTCATCCATGTTGTAACATACAGCAGAATTTCCTTCCTTTTTAAAGCCAAATACTATTACATTGTATATATGTACCATATTTTTGTTTGTCCATTCATCCATCCGTGGACACTGAAATTGCTTCTACATTCACGCTACTGTGGGTAATGCTGCTATGACAAAGTGCACAAATACTGCTTCAATATACAGCTTTCAATTCTCTTACATTTATATATAGAAGAGGAATTGGTGGGTCATATGGTAATTTTATTTTGCAATTTTTTGAGGAACTGCCATACTTTCTTCCACAAAGGCTATACCATTTTAAATTCTCACCAACAGTACACAAGGGCTCCTATATCCCCACATTTCTTCAAACACTTATTTTCTGGTTTTTTGATGGTGGCTATAGCGAGTGTGAGGAGAATGGGTATGAGGCGTATCTCATAGTAATTTTCAGTTGTATATTCATAATGATTAGTGATATTCATCTTTTCATATGCTTAGTGGCCATTCACAAATCTTTGAGAAAATGTCTATTGAAGTCCTTTGCCCATATTTGAATTTGACATTTTTTGCTGTTCAGTTTTAGGAGTTCTCTACATATTCTGGTTAATAATCCTTAAGAGATTTATAATTTGCAAATATTTTCTCCCATTCTGTGACTTGTGGATAGTGTCTTTTGATTCATAATATTTTTAAGTTTTCATGAAGTCCAATTTATCTATTTTTTCTTTTGTTACCTGTGTTTTTGGTGTTATATCCAGGAAATCACTGCCAAATTCAATGTCATCAGGTTTATCCTACATTTTCTCTTAAGGTTTTTTTGGGGGGCAAGGGGGTGTTTAAGGTCTTAAATTTAGGTGCTAGATCCATTTTGAATTGGTGTTAGGTAGGCAACCCACTTTATTCACTTTTGCATGTGAATATCCAGTTTTCCCAGAACCATTTGTTGAAAAGATTGTCCTATCCCCAGTAGTCTGGTCTTGGTGACCTTGTCAAAAATCATTTGGCTATATATGAGTTAATATTTATGAGCTCTCTATTTTACTGGTCTGTAAACTATATGTCAATATCATACTATTTTGATTAATGCAGCTTTGTATAAGTTCTGAAATCAGGGAGTTTGGGTGCTACAGTTTTATTCTTCTTGTTCAAGATTATATTGGCTATTTGTCCCTTGAGATTCTGTATGAATTTAGGATGGATTTTTTCATCTGTTAAAAACTCTGGGATTTTTGACAGGACTGGGACCTGTAGACAGCTTTGGGTAGAACTGACATTTTAATATTAAGTATCCCAAGCCATAAACATTGGTCTTTTCATTTATTTATGTGTCTTTTTAAATTTCTTTCAGCAATGTTTCATATTCTTATACATACATATGCATGCGTGCATATGTGCTAAGTCACTTCAGCCATGTATTTTATTCTTCTATCTTATTGTGAATGAACTTGCTTTTGTAATTTCATTTCAGATTGTTCACTGTTCATGTACAGAAATGCATATGATTTCTGTATGTTAACTTCGTATACTGCCACACTGTTGAATTCATTTACCAGTTTTAAAAGGTGTGTATGTGTGTCTCTCTGTGTGTAATCATTAGGATTTTCTACATATAAAGCCATACCATCTGCACAGAGATAACTTTATGTATTCTTTTCCAATTTACATGCTCCTTCTTTTTCTTGGCCAGTTGCTATGGCTAGAAAATGCAATGCTGTGTTGAAGAGAAGTAGTGGAAGAAGGCATCCCATTCTTGCCTTATTCCTCATCTCAGGAAAAGCTTTCAATCTTGCCACCACTGAGTATGATGTTCACTTTGGTTTTTCATATATGGCTCTTACTATGCTGAAGTGGCTTCCTTCTATTTCTAGGTTGTTAACTGTTTTTGTCACAAGAGTGTTTGTGTCTGATGCTCCTTTTGCATCAGTTGAGAGGATCGTTTGGCTTTTAACCTACATTCTGTTGATATGGCATATTGTACTGTTCAAGTTTCATACATTAGACGATCCTTGCATTTCAGGGATAAATAACACTTGGTCTTGGTATTTAATCTTTTCAATGTGCTGAACTCTGTAAGTATTCTGTTAAAGATATGTGCATCAATGTTCATTAGGAGTTTGAAGTTTTCTTACAGTGTCTTTGGCTTTGGTTATCATGGTAATGTTGGTCTCATAGAATGAATCAGGAATCATTCTCCTCTCTTCAATTTTGGGGAAAAGCCTGAAAAAGACTGCTATTAGCTCTCCCTTAAATACTTGGTAGAATTCAATAATCGAGCCATTAGGTCCAGAACTTTTCTTTGGTGGGAAGTTTTTAATTACTAATTCAATATGCTAACTGGTTATACATCTATTCATGCTTTCTATTTCTTTGTAATACAGTCATGGTAGATTTTGTGTTTCTTGGAATCATTTCATCCAGGTTATTCAAGTTGTTAGCATACAACTGTTTACAGTACTTTCATATTTATTTCTGGAGAATTTGTAGCAATGTTCCCACTTCAATTTCTTATGTTAGTAATTTGAGACATTCTTTTTTTTCTCAGTTTACCTAGCTAAAGTTTTGTCAGTTTTGTTGATATTTCTGAGGAGCCAACTTTTGGTTTCCTCAATTTTCTCCACTGTTTTTCTATACTCTATTTCACTTATCTCTGCTCTAATCTTTCTTATTTTCTTCCTTCTGCTAGCTTTGGGCTTATTTGTTCATTTTCCAGCTCCTTAAACTGCGAGGTCAGATAGTTGACTTGGGATCTTTTTTATTTTTTAATGTAATATAGTACTTAGAGCTATAAATTTCCCCCTTAGCACCACTTTTGCTCCTTTCCAGAAGTTTCGGTAGGCTGTGTTTTCATTTTCATTCATCTAAGTATTTTAATTTCCTTGTAATGTCTTTTTGAACCCATTAGTTGTTCAAGTGTTAATTTCTACACTTATGAATTTTCCAGGTTTCCTTTTGTTAATGATTTCTAACTTTATGCCACTGTGGTCAGAAAAGATACTTGGTATATTCATCTTTTTATATCTACTGAGACTTGATTTGTGGCCTAACACATGGTCCATCTTGGAAAATGTCCCATGTACATTTGAGAGGAATGTGTATTCTGTTGTTGAACAAGAACACAAACATATACAGAACAGGGTACAGTGTTATGAATATGTTTGTGTTGTTTAAATCCTCTCCTTATCTTCTGTCTGGTTGTTTAATCCACTACTGTTGAGTGGGGTACTGAAGTCTCCAGCTAGGATTGCAGAACTATTTCTCCCTTCAATTCTGTCAGGTTTTGCTTCATATATTTTGGT